ACTACAATCTGGAATTCCTGTGCCTTCTCTATTACCAAGAGGATGGCCTCTTATAGTTATTGATTTGAAAGATTGCTTTTTCACTATCCCTTTGCAAGAAAAGGATAGAGAAAAATTTGCCTCCACAGTGCCTACTTATAATAATTCTCAGCCTACTAGGAGATATCAATGGACTGTCCTCCCACAGGGGATGCTCAATAGTCCCACATTGTGCCAATATTTTGTTAATAAGCCATTGGAAATAATTCATAAGCAATTTCCCAAGTCCATAATTTATCATTACATGGATGACATTTTATTATCTGATTCAAATAAAGATACTTTGGAAAGTATGTTTGAAGAAGTAAAGAAAGTCTTGCCTAGCTGGGGATTACAAATTGCCCCTGAAAAGATTCAAAGAGGAGATTCTATTAATTACCTAGGTTACAGAAGAGGGTTAGAGAAAATTCGAATGCAAAAGGCACAAATTAGGAGAGACCGGTTACAGACTCTTAATGACTTTCAAAGATTGTTAGGAGACATTTCCAGTTTATGACCAGCTGTTGGGATAACACCTGATCTAATAATTCATTTTAACAAAACCTTAGATGGTGATAAAGATTTGAATAGTCCCAGAAAATTGACAGTTGAAACAGAAAAGGAACTGACAATGATTGAGGAAAAATTACAGGAGGCACATGTGGATAGGGTGAACCCGAATCTTAGTTCCATCCTAGTCATACTGCCTTCCAGAATTTCTCCTACAGGGATTTTAATGCAGAGGGAAGATATTATTTTAGAGTGGATATTTATACCTCATAAACCAAGTAAAAAATTAAAAACTTATGTAGAAAAAGTCTCTGAATTAATTATAAAAGAAAGTTATGGGAAGATAATGGACCCTGGCAAAGAGCTTGTGCTATTTTTTTTTTTTTTGGAGAAATAAACAGCAACTATCCCAAAAGTGATAGACTTAACCTCATAAAGAGAACTTCTTGGATTCTTCCTAGAATTGTACATGATGTTCCAATAACTGGAGCCCAGACATTTTATACTGATGCAAATAAATCAGGGAAAGCAGGTTATAAATCGGGAGAATTGAGTAAGGTGGAAAAAAGCCCTTATAATTCTGTCCAGAATGCAGAATTATATGCCATTCTTTTTTTTTTTTAAATTTATTTATTACATATACAATATTCTGTCTGTGTGTATGTCTGCAGGCCAGAAGAGGGCACCAGACCTCATTAGAGATGGTTGTGAGCCACCATGTGGTTGCCGGGAATTGAACTCAGGACCTTTGGAAGAGCAGGCAATGCTCTTAACCACTGAGCCATCTCTCCAGCCCCCTATATGCCATTCTTATAGTGCTAAGGAATTTTAAAGAACCTCTTACTATAATTACAGATTCCCAATATGCAGAAAGAGTTATCTTGCATATTGAAACCGCTGAATTCATACCAGATTACACTGAATTGACTTTAATGTTTATCCAGGTACAGGACATAATTAGAAATAGGCTTTATCCAATGTATATAACACACATCCAGTCCCATACTGGTCTGCCTGGCCCTCTAGCACAAGGTAACGCTGAAATTGACCATTGTTGATTGGAAGCGTGTTGCAGGCCTCAGAATTTCATAAAAACATCACATCAATAGTAAAGGCTTAAAGAAAGAGTTTTCCATTACATGGCAACAAGCTAAGGACATTATAGAGATGTCCTACTTGTTCTTTCTACAATCAAACACTGTTGCCTGCAGGGAATAACCCAAAGGGTACTCAAAGGAATGAAATCTGGCAGATGGATGTGTTCCACTTTATGGAATTTGGTAAATTAAAATATGTACACCACACCATAGACATATATTCAGGTTTTCAATGGGCAACTGCCCTGAGCTCAGAAAAGGCTGATTTGGTAATCACACATTTATTGGAAGTTATGGCCATCATGGGTATACCTGCACAAATAAAGACAGCATATAAATAAAGACAAATAAATGGTCCAGCATATGTATCTAAGAAAATGAAATGCTTTTTTTGCTTATTATAAAATAAAACACATTACAGGTATAACAAATAATCCTACAGGTCAGGCAGTTATAGAAAGATCAAATCGTACTATAAAGGATATGATGAACAAACAGAAAGTGGCGAAAGATACCCCCAGAAATAGATTGCATAATGTTTTATTATCCTTGAATTTTCTTAATGCTAATGAGAAAGGAACAACAGCAGCAGAGAGGCATTGGATAATGGAAAAAACTTCTGAACTAAACCACCCTGTTTATTTCAAAGACGTGCTGACCTCTCAATGGAAGCTAGGAGATGTGCTACGTTGGGGAAGGGGTTTTACTCTTGTTTCCACAGGAGAAGAAAAATTGTGGATACTATCAAAATTAATAAAGGTTCGATTTGAAGAGGAGAAACCTCTTGGAAAGGAGAAATGACAGCTCATCTACAATGATGATATTCATACAGGATGGTAAGAAAAACATATAGAATGGAGGCAGGGTTCTGTTCTTATCTCCACAGGAAAACACTCATCTTTGAAAAATTCAAGGGACCCTGGATATTTGAATACTGACAGATGGAAAATAATGGCCCAATAGGGACTATCAAGAAAACTGAATAGGTTCTGTAAGTAAAATATACTAAATCATATTTCTAAATTTATAGAGCTGGTTTTGGAGTTGGACTCTGGCTCAGTCCCTCTCTAATTCCAAGCCTGTTGTTAAAAGAAAAACCCAGAGTTTCTGAAGTTTCTGTCTCATGACAAGAGCCATGATATGGGACAGAAAGAAATATGAGTTTAGAAAACATCTTTACTTTTCTTCATATCTATCATACCTTTCATTAAATATATCTATTATGCCTTTCATTGAATATATGTATGTCTGTATATGTCTATATGAATACTGTTTAAGTTTTCCACAATGAACAATGAGTTTTTCCTGCAGTGACATTTGAAGTTTCCAGGAAAAAGATGGGGCCCCATAACAACAACTCCACCCGGTTGATATGACGTCATGATACTGATAGCGCTACTACAAGACCTGTTTTGGGTACCAGCTGCACAAGACGATTCCAACGTGGTTAGCTGAAATGGTGCACATCTTGTACAACATTCTGGCCAGACCTCCACAAAATACTCAGAGACTATTTGCAATTTTAAAAGACATTGATCTTGAAATTTAACCATCATTTTACTTTCATAGGATCCCCCAGAAAGAACGTCACCCCCATGACAGCTGGAAGTAATTCTAGAGAATGACGTACCTTCTCCCAGTAAAGTTGGTCCTTGGGTTTAGGTATATCATTTAGGGGTTGGTTATAATTAGTATACAGTTGAGGGTTGGGGGAGGAATTTTATAAGCGCAGGAATCTTTAAAAAAAAAAAAGAGGGATAATTGGATTATGGGATAATAGATTTGTACTTGTGAGATTGTTTTTAGACAAATATATTGGTATCGATTCTTATATATTGATAGTTAAATTATGTTGACTATTGTATGTATGCATGCTTCTACCTCTGTTTAAAATATTTTTATGTATTGATATATGTATATTTACCATATTGCATTGTACACTTCTACCTCTTATTAAGATACTTATATATTGTTTATGTATTTATATATATATTTAACATATTGCAAAGTGTACTTGCACATTGTTTATATTTGGAGGTCATATTGTCCTCATTTATTGGATAGTTGTTTATTGTCTCAGTCTTTAAGTTAGATAGGTATTGAGAATTATATAGATCAATAGTCATCTAAGTTTGTCATTTATAATTAGACTAATCAGGTTCTTTAGATACATAGATTATATTCAGTATAGATAGATAATCTTCAACCTCTTCAAAGAGCTGTAGAAAATGGCCTTTAATCTAACTCAGAGTTCTGTGGTAGTGAGACACAATCGCTCCTGGCAACACCAATCTATTCCCGAGAGAATGTTGAGCACCAAAGACAATCTACCTGGAGCCTTTCTTCTTGGCAGAACTGGCCTTTGGGTAAAGAAATGCCCATACCTCAACTACTGACAGAGTTACAGAATATCCGTAAATGGATAAAACAGGACTGTCATATCCTGCCAAGACAGGGTAAGATAGTTTTGAAAAGTTTCTTGCCTTTGAAAATGGTATGTCAGTTTTGTCAGGCCTTAGCCAAAGTTGGTCGCTTCAACGCTGCAAACGTGACTTTGGGTGTTTGCCCAGGTAGCAAGTTGTCTATGTGATTTGTTACATGTTCTGGAAGTTGTTTGATTGCACTTCCTAATTACTCAGGTAACATTATTTCCCTTCTCAGATCTTTGATGGGATTGAAGATTATATAAATGTAGTTACTTTCTTCTCATGATTTGGCCAAGTTATTTGTTAAACAAGACTTAAGCTAGTTAGAATAGGATATTTGTATTTATTGTATATAATTTCGTAGGTTTGTACTTATTGTATATAATTTCGTAGTAGGCTTAGAACTCTCTTACTTAAACAAAAGGGGGAGATGCTGCGGGAGCTCCTTCCGCTCCTTCAGCCAATAGCCGCTGAGATATTGGGGCATGGTCTCTCTCTCTTTAAAAAAGCAGTGGCTGTCCTCCACTCTCTCTCTGGCTTCCAGCTCT